AGGAGGACTGAGGTTCAAGGCCTCAGGCCAGATTTTCTCTTCTGAGGTTCCAGTGTTAGTGGATTTTGTGGGTTGGAGCCAAAATGAGGCATTAAGTATGCTGTACAGGGCTGCCAGTGAATGGAATAGGGATCTGAGTGGGAGATGGGATGTAGGAGGGATGAGGGTGCCAGGTCTGGCCAGGGGGTAGGAATGGGTTGAGGGCTGGCTGTCTGGCCACAGGGCAGGGGGACGTGCTGTGTGGCCAACATCCTCCCTGCCCCCAGGTCAGACACCCCTTGCCTTCTGCTCAAAATCCTCCCTACGCTCTGCTCCTTGGCCAGAGGGCAAGGGACCTGCGGACAAAGGGTGTCTGGCCTGGGGGTGTCTGGCCAGGAGGCTGTGGGCAGGTTGTCTGGCCGGGGGGGCGGGGAGGCGGGGGAGGTGGGGGGGGCACTTGTTTTTGCACCATGTGGCAGGTACTGTGTAACATGCCTTCCACTGCTCCCATTCCATGGAAGCCTCCAGGAAGGGTGAACAGGGGAGGCTGCAGGAAGTGTGTCCCAAGGGAAGGAAATGTCAGTGTTCAGGGAGCCATATTTGGTTCCTGGTTTCCCCCACATTGGGGGAAGGAAAACGCTGTCATGCTGAGCCGTGTTTAGCCTGTTTATCCCCACGTGCCAGATCCAGCACGGAGCCTCCAGGCTTTTTCTTCCTGCTCCTCCCCACAGGAAGCTGCGCTGGCATTTGAGTCTTGCAGGGGCCATAAGGCTGTATGCTCCCTGCTGAGGGGGTCTGGTGAGGGCTGAGCTGGAGTTCCAAAAGAGCCCTATCTAGCCCCCTAGAGAGCCATATTTGGCTCGCAAGCCATAGGCTGCCAACCCCCGGTCTATAGGATGCAAATCTGTGCAGCACCCCATGCAGTTACTTAAAGTGTGTGTATTCAAGATTGGCCTGTGGGCATGTCTTCAGCACAGGTTGGATTGACGAGCAGCAATCGATCCTGCAGGGGGTCGATTTATCACATCTAATATAGATGTGATACATCGACCAAGCGCTTTTCCATCCACTCCAGAACTCCAGTGGAGTCAATGGGAAAGTGTCAGCTGTTGACTTACCATGATGAAGATACCATGGTAAGCAGACCTAAGTACATTGGCTTCAGCTATGTTATTCACGTAAGCTGACTGCATGCAGGGAGTGTAGACAGGGCCTATGTTCTGTCTCTCAGGACTTCTGCTTTCTGGTACCATTAAGTATAATAGATTTTCTTGAGAAGAACCTTGCCTTTCTTCTTCTAGTTTATCAACCAGATGCAAAGCAGTGGCAATTAAATATAGCTAACAGGCAATACTATATCCATCATAATTTAATGAGTAGAAGGCTTGGGAATCTCTGCCATTGATAGCTTCAACCCATCTGCAGTAAATAACAAATCATTTTCTTGTGTGGTATCAGCTTCTGCTCTTGAACTCCAGGATGTGAAACATCACCCAATTCAGACAGAACATTAAGGGAAACTAGGGAGTACTTAGGGAAACTAAGTGTTAAACAGAACCATCCGTCTGAGGTGGAGCGCTTGAGAGCTGGGTATTTTGTATCTCAATCATGCCTGGTTTATGGCTAGCAATCCTTGAATTTGTGTGACAGCAGCCCAATGCCTTTCAGTAGATTACATCATAAATAAACCAAGCATGAAGTGGTCAGAGCATCCAGATGAGCAAAAGCAAAAGATATGTAGAAACAAATACAGAGTGGTGTAGTTGTATTTAAAAAATATTATTTAAGAGAAGAGAGGATGCTAGTAATGGGTCATGGAGTTTTACTCAAACAGGCACATTCCTGTGATTTTTATTGCCACAATCTCTCTGGGTCAGACTTTTACTCTCTCTGTTGAAAGAGAGAAAGGAGGGAGGGGAGGGGGGAGAAAAATCCACACAGAAATCAATCCATCAAATGTCATTACAGATTTATTAAGCCTGATGTAGAAAGACTTTTAACAGTAACATCTTCAGAAAGCATAAAAAGAGCACTTCTGTTCAGTCTTGTGCTTTGAAAATCTAAATATATTTTTATCATATAAATAATTCTTTTCATGTTTTAAGTGCATCTGTTTTTTTTCCCTTTTCAAATTTCCATTTTACAATTGGCCAAAACTGAAGTCTGCATTGACTGAAATGAAGCCATTTGCAAAGCTAATGATGTTGTGAAGAATGTCTATGGTGAACCATATCAGCTAGATTTCAGAAAGGTAGTTCAATGAGTGCAGCATTAAAATGAGGGACAGCCTCCAGCAAAATCATAATTGAACACACCCAAGTCCTTAACGTCTGTAGTTCAGTTTCCTGATGCAAATTACAATAACGTTTCAGATGTTGAGCAGTTGCTTTCCAATAACTGCAGTGAGAAAGAGACATTTTCTGCCACAAAGGAAAGAATTACCATGTTTAAAAATGTAAATAATATATGTATAGAAACCTTTTTTATGGAAATGAGGCATTCAGAGCTATATGCACAGTTTGGGATTTTTTTCTTTTAAACATAACACATAAAGATACATCATCTATTATCTGGGACTTTAATTATGGTTCTAAGCTGGAGTGATTTTATTTGCAGTGGTAAAAAAATATAGAGCAAAAATCATTGTTGAGAGATTTCAATGCTGCAAAAATCATACACAGAAATACATCTTAAATGCACAAGTACAAAGCCATCCTTTTGTAAATCAAACAAGGCCTTCGATAAACAGGTTTGACCTGATTTAAATTTAATGAGCTACAGAGACCTGATTGTTAATAATTGGTTTTGGAAACACCAAAACAATAAAAGCAGTAATCTCCTCTAGTATAAATTATATGAATTTATTTAGCAATCAACCAAAGAAAAAAATGCCATTAACATTTTCAATTTGTTATTTACTTTAAGTTAGCGATAATAGACAAATAATTTGAAGCAAAATTGCGACCTTTGAGAACCTTGGATTTGAGAAAGACAAGAGAAATATTGGGAAGATGCATATCTGTGATGAATCTTTTTGACCACTAGGTGGCACAATCCTCCTAGAAGAAAGGATTTCTTTTTATTTTATTCATTTTTTTTCATAGTAAGGACCATTCATAATCATCAAAACCAAGTGAAACATGGTTTTGATTAAAACAGCCTGTTGGCTCAATAATCTTAGTAATTTTAAAAACATCCTTAATGTGGAAGAAGAACACTGGAATGTCAGAAATGGCCTGGGGGCCCATTATAACAGCAACAAAATAAATAAGGAGGAGAAATGAGAGGTCATGAAAACAAAATTAAGCTAATGTTTCAAATTTTGACAATTATGAATTGTGCCTCTACGAAGACATTTTTAAAGCAAAAAATTCAGGCACTATTAGATACAATACAAAGAGGATAATTGTACATGTATGGGAGTAGGCATGCCTTAAAAGCAAAATTTGGACTTAGATTCCCCCCCCTCCCCTATAGCCAGCAATTGGGCAGGTCTCATGCAAACACAGACTTGCTTCTCATAGTTCCTCTGTAAACTCAACTCGTAACTCCTTTATAAATCATAAAAAAAGGACAACCGAGGAAAATAAACAAAAAATTACAAGCATATTTTTGATTACAAAAATTATCCCCCATAATGGACCAGTTTTGTAGGAAACAGAAACAAGCAAATATAACAAAATCTGTGTTCATAACATGGCAATATAGTTAATATATACAAATATGTACAGTATAAAAATGCATCAAAGGCTTAACTTTCCATTCAACCAAGCTGCAGTGCACAATGAAAAGCAGCTTCATGTGCCCCCCACCCCCTCCCACTGCCCTCAGTATACAGGCAATATATTCTGTACAGCATGCACTTGTTACAAAATGAGTGCATAAGCACCAAAACATTCTACAGATAAAGTCACTGTGAATTCTCTTTGAAAGGAATCCTGTTTGCTTTGTTAATATAAAAACGTGTTTACTTTTCTTTTTGCGATTTGTAGTATATACATTGTTTTGCATCTGACCAAAGAGAAGCGAGCATTGATAACGCATTTTATCCTTTGAAACAAAATTCTAAGAACTAACACATATGGTCAAGAATGTAACCTGAAGATGCTGCCAATAGCAAACCCACTAAATACCACAAGCGTTTGTTCAGAGCAAGAAATAGCTGACTGTCAAAATTTACTGGTGTGGCCAACTGTGCTCCATTATTTTAAATAGGAATGGATATTTATGATTCATGCTGACTTATTCAAGACATTAGGGGAAAAAACACAAAGAATGGGATTAATAAGTGATGGCTATGTACTAGACAAAAAGGTATATTGTACCAGAGATATGACAGTTAAGTACCCTGAGCCAAATAAAAACTGTTTAGCTTGTCGGCTTTTGCAACCTGTATTGCACATTCCAGCATTTGCTGCATTATAAAGCCAAAATACTGCATTGTATGCCCTGAAGATTCCTGCAGTTTTTGCTTGGTGCAAATAGTGCACAGCCTCAGAATGATTGCATGCTTTTTATATATATGCATATTGCATGTAAATGCATATATTGAGAGTTCTGTCTACAGCTACATAACTATCTATATCTATCTGCTGCTATCTACATAGCTATAGAGAGATATGTAATTCCTGAATGTTACATGGACCATTTAGTACGTGAAAACATTACCATACAAATCTTTCACATTTGAGACATAATTGCACGGCTGTTTAAGTTCTGTAAATACAACTCTTCACTTGGGGCTGATACCCAACTGTGGATTTGTATTTCAAGCTAATTCAGACACCACATTGCAATATATTTGTATTTTTGCAAGATTTTTGTTTGTTTTTAAAAGCAGAACATTGGTCATTTTCCTGCCATCTCCTCTGGAATGTTTAATGAAAGTTATTGTTACCTGTACAGTACTTAAAAAAAAAAGGGGGGGGGGGAGAAGGAAGGATTACACAGGTAGATAATCTAACTTAGGTAGAAACAATGTATGACTTGTTAGGATTCATATTTAGCCTGTTTTTTTCCAGCAGGGTATTTTGCAAGCTGAGAATGAAGATGAGCTGGAAGTTGGAGTTTATTTTGCTTGGTAAGTATGATGGAACAGCTACTTTACTTTTTAAAATACTCTCAGAATAAAATACTGAATAGATACTTAGCACAAAAAGCAGCTTTACTTTAGGCTTTGTCTGTCTCTAAAAGTTTGGCCAACATAGATAAAACAGCAAAAAAACCAACCAACCAAACAAACACAATAACCCCTAGTGTAGATGCAGTTATACCAGTATAAAAAGTATTTATACTGAGGCCATGTCTACACTAGATGTCGTCTGAATTTACTAAGCTCCATGTCTGGGCACCCAATTTTACAAATTCTAAGTTCTGTGTCCTCACTACAGGGAAGAATTGAATGTAGTAAGAGGCAGGCTATGTTAATGGGGACGCACTACCTCGCACTCAGAGCCCCAGGAAGCACTTTGGGGAGCTACAGGAGGCCTCCTGGAGGCCAGTAAATTCAAATTGGTGGCACCGGAGCATCCACACTAACATTATTTTGGACCTATAAGTTCAGGAATAGTGTTATTCCTCATGAAAAGCAGGACTAGGGAGTTCGAATTCTGAATCCCCTTATTCCAGAATAACAGGATTGGTAGTGTGGACGTATCACTTACAAAATGGACCTTGGGGGGCTAATTTCAGACTAAGGTCCTAGTGTAGACAGGCCTAACATTGTTTATTCCAGTTAAGTGATGCAAAATAAAATGCACAGTTATATTTTTACGTTCAGACTTTTACTGGTGTAACCATGTCATAAAAAAAATTATATTTGTAACTGACATAGCTATTCCAGTAAACTTTGTAAATCTAAACCAAGCAGATGCTATCTGACATGGGCTGGGAACTGCATTTGATGAAGGTGTTTTAAACACCATTTAGTATGTTAAGAAAACAAGTATAGAAATAGCAGAGCTTCATTCTGATCTTATGCCCTTGTAAATCTAAAATAACTATATTGACTTCAAAGGAGCTACTCTGGATTTGTAGTCATATAAATGAGCTCAGAATCTGTCCCATAATTGTAAAAGTTGGTTGAAATATGGCTTGGTTTTGTCTACCATGGCTAAAACTAAATCGGTCTTAGCTGATTCTAAACAATATTTGAAATTCAGTTCTCAGCCATTGGATATAGGACCTCTGTCTGGGATTTACATTAATTCACACAAATGTTTTGACTGTCCTTATTCTGACTGATCTTATTTAAAACAATTACAAAACACAACCAACCAACCATCCAACCAATGACCCAACCAACCAACCCTATATCATTGAAGGGGATTAGAGTATGGACAAAATCCTAAATTGTGTGTCCATGAATAAGATCAACTATTCCGTGAATAAAAAATATCAGGAAGAGTTAAATTCTGGAATTATTCCTTTACAGGCTTGAACCAGTGCCCATTAAAATCAGTAGAAAAACTTTTGACGCCACATGATGTTGGATCAGGCCCTTAGTTTGATGGAATGTAAACTGAAATCTACCTTAAAGTGCATGTTTTTTTAATTGTTTAGCTACTTCATAAGTCTCAAAATCCAGCAATTTTACTCTCTCTTTTTCTCGGCAAAAAAACCCAAGGAGTCAGGACAAATATTTGCCTGAATTTACAGATGTCACTTTCTGTGTAAATATTTCAGAAGAACTATGTACATTAAGAAAAAGAAATTGGCATGTTAATATCTTCCTATGCGTTTTCAACAGGAAATTATTAGCATTTATTTTAAAACTTAGCATTTCCCCCATAATTTGCAATAGTTATCAGGTAAAGGTACTTATCAGGAAAGTTATGCCCACAGAATCTCACTACACTTACTATGGCTTTCTTCAAAAGCCACATTGAAACCAATCTACAGGTCCTTTGCAATAGGAAACTCAGAGAACTCAGGCCAGAGGGTCTGGGTATGTGAGTATATAGAATCACAAGGAGCAGAAATAATATGTCAGGTTACATGTCAGGCTATTGCAGGTATAGGGGGAACATGCTACAGGGTAATAGTACTATTTCAACATATACATTTACCTGTTTAGGAGGTGGTTATGTCAATTTCCCTGCAAGGTGACTGATGGCCTTTAAACCCTATTGTAATTGTGTGGTATTGATTTGGAATCTGTGATTAATATTGTCTTTATTGAGGGAGTTTTAAATATAAATTGCATCATTCATCTGTTTGTGAAGGCAAAAGACAAATGCTCCCCAGAGCTATTTATACTGGGCACAGCTACATCCTTTGCAGTGAGGTTTGTAGTAGGAAGCAGGGTGGCATGCAGGGAGGTGAGGAGGCAGAGATGGTTTTTTCACCCCGACCTTCCTCCATGCAGCTGGGTAGGGGACTATGGCTGCATCTTGAGCTGGTTAAAAAATGTTGACAAAAATGACATTTTTTCACTCCTCTGATCCATTTTCCTGCCAAATGCCATTTCAACATAACATCCCAGGCAGTGCTCCTGCTCTGGCTGGTTCATAAGCCATTTCAGAGGTGCTCAGCACTGGACAGAATTGAGCCCTTGGTAACTAATAACAACAGCTGCAGGGGGCAGCCGAGTTAGTCTGTACAGAAAAAAACAACAAATGGTCTGGTAGCACTTTAAAGGCTAACAAAACAGGGAGATGGTATCATGAGCTTTCATAGGCACAGCCCACTTCTTCAGATGACGGGTTCTTCCAGTCATCTGAAGAAGTGGGCTGTGCCCACAAAAGCTCATGATACCATCTCCATGTTTTGTTAGTCTATAAAGTGCTACCAGACCATTTGTTGTTGTTGTTTTTAACAACAACAGGTGAGCTCTGTATAAGCCAGATCCTCTCTGAGCTGTGTCTAGCCCCCCTCACTGAAGCTTTGCCTCAGGCACTTCTAACACCTTTTCTTTAACCACACAAAGCTTTCTAGACCTCATCTTGCTTTCTCCCAGAGCCCCATGCACCATTCTCCTAAGCCTTATTTCTTAATGCTAATACCCTCCTCTAAATTATCAAATGAACCTTTGGTTTTAATGGCTTGGTTTATATGCCTATATATGGCACTTTATTATTATAGTTTATTAAAAATGATTGGGGGAAAAAGACAACACTAGAAAATAATCCTTGCCTTATAAATGTATGAGAGTTGACACAATGACTTGTAAAAACTCCTTGGAACCTCATCCCCTGTGTTAATATACAATTATTGATTTTTAAAATGACGGCTTATATCCTCCTTGATCACTAAAGGAGTCAGTGAGGTCAGTCTTATAACTACTTTTACAAGTAGGTAATAAAAATCCTTATGAAGTTGCATTGACAAGTAATTACTGGGTATGTTTGTTAGCTGATTTTCAAAGTTTTTTTAAAAAATAGTAATTGAACTAACAATAGACACTTTTTAAAGCTAAATGTCCTCCACTGCTCAGTGCCTGGACAATTAGGTCCTTATTTACAAAAGTGCTGAACACTTTCCATTATCATATTTTAGGGAATAATCAGTTGCTAGTTTCACACTGCCTTTTTAAAAATATATTTTAAAGGCATGACTGGCTTATTTTGACATGTACAGTAGCTGAAAGGGGGCTACAGTTTCTGAATAAACCTTGCAAAGACATACAGAAAGGAAAGCAATTCTTACTCCTTTATGGCACTGCTAAAGCACAAACAGTTTGGATACATGGTGTATGGATATGCCACATGTTAATAAGCAAAGACACAAATCATAAATATTTGGCTGTTTGATCACCCGGTTTTTAGTTGTTTTGATGATCTCCAATAAGAATAAAAGTCAGGACGATAGATATTGAATAAATGCGACAGAGAAAAGATGCAATGATTTTCTGTGTTACCTGATTAATGTGACAGATAAACTATCAATTCATCCTGCATCAGATACAGAAAGAGAT